CCTCCAATGACTGCTGTAATCTCTCCTCTTGTTTCTTTGCTGTTCTTCTTGTTTCTTTTCTTTTTCCTCCAATGACTGCTGTAATCTCTCCTCTTGTTTCTTTGCTGTTCTTCTTGTTTCTTTTGCTGTTCTTGTATTGCTGCCATCAAATCTGCTAAGCTGTAGTTTGGTTTGCCACCTCTCGTTTCCATCTCTTTCTTTTTTATTTTCAGTCCCACTCTCTGACACCAATTTGTTACGTCTCTGGTCGTTTGTTAATTTCCGGTATAAATTCTTCCCGAGGAACTTCAGCAATACAAGTCCTTTCTTAAATAAAACTAGTTTATTATTTCTCAATACAACTTTGCAATACACAGAATTTCCACAGGCACTTTTACTTAAACACACGCTATAATTCACAACGATTCACGCACTTTACAGTCACTACGGATCGCTTGACTCAATTATCTGTCTCTATATCTGTCCATCTGCAACTGAATTATCTCGCTTTATTTGCCGGGCTTATATACTAAAATAGAGGGCGCCTAGAAAAGACTAGAGTTGCCAGGAAAGTCAAAATCCTTCGAGAATCTCATGACGTGTTACTAGAGTCACGTGACTTCCGCTGTCGTAACATTATATATTCTCTTAGAGGTTTTTATAAATTAGAAGAATGCATAATAATGGTATTCCAACTCCACTATTTATAACAAATGGCTTATATAAACAATGTTCCGACCACTACCGTGTTTGTTGTAATATCAGCTAGCGTGATGAGCTCTGGATTAAGCTAAACGCATCGTTGGCAACAGATATGGCGTACATAGTGTAGTTGGAATGCTATTATTATACTCTTCTCATTTTTGAAAATCCCTAAAGAATTAGATTAAAAATGCAGTGTTAAAATATAATAGACCCAATACTAATGTTTTCTGATAATTATAATTAGTTGATTATATTCGTCATTAACCTTATTTTCTATTAATTACTGTTATTGTTTGTTTGTTTGTTTTGAATTTCGCGCAAAGCTACACGAGGGCTATCTGCGCTAGCCGTCCCTAATTTAGCAGTGTAAGACTAGAGGGAATGCAGCTAGTCATCACCACCCACCGCCAACTGTTGGGCTACTCTTTTATTGCACTTACTTTGGCAGTTTTAGAGTGATAATATTTTTACTATTTATTGCAAGATGTTGTTGGCCCCCAGTGGCTCAGCAGTAATTCTAAAGGCTTATAATGCTAAAAACCGTGTTTCGATACTTGTGGTGAGTACACCACAGATGTCCCATTGTGCGGCTTTGTGCTTAATAAGAAAACAAACAAATGACGTTGTTATTAATTTAATTTGTAATCCTTTTATCTTCATAAAAGTTGGTTTTGGGCTGTATCGTCCTGTTACCCAACTATATTTGGAGTTAAACAGTAACATGTGTGTCGTGACTATCTTAGATGTCAAGCTACGTTGAAATTATTCTGTCGGGACCGTAATTCTTCATTTACAATTTACTTTCCTTCCCTTATTTTTAAAAATGAACTCACCTATTAATGGTTGTAGCTTAATATATGTTAATATTGTTGATACTAGCGCTGCCGTTGGTAACTTTGTTACCGAAGCTAGTCGGCTGTAACCAAATAGTAAAAAGTTTACCTTTCATCGTGCCAAAAACGTCGGTTTTTGTGTTTCTTACTCTTTGTTTAATGTTAGTTTTAGTAAGCAATATTGATTGGAGCCTGTAGTTTATATCTATCTACTTACTTTTATTTCTAATATTTTTATGATGGTGATGATTTTGCACTTTCTCTTAATATTTGAATTTATAACTAACCCAAATCTCTTAAACTGGTTGAATATCGTGAAATATTATTGGGATTATGGTATGTGATATTATCATTATAAATTATTGTTGTTTTTATACCTTTGCATGCACCAAGTTTTAACAGTATATTAAAGTAGCTACATTAATTACTAGGTTTAATTTTTAGTTATGTTTCATTCGGGTAGCTTTGATCAGAAGTTAATAATAAAAGTTTGTGACGTGGGTGACAAACCCTTCTGTGAAGTACTGACATTCTCGAACTTGAATAAAATCCTAAACAAAGATAATAGGGGCAGCGCGTAAGAGAGGCTTGGGAAATAAAGAACAATTGGTGAAAAAAGATGGCATATCTCTAACAGCCCGAGGGGCAATCTCCCCTTAAACACCTGTCATGGACAAACAAACACCCTTCCCAAACAAAATGTCTCTTACAAAGAATCATTTCTACCAACACAAAAATATCATACAAAAGACTCACGTGCCGCCTATGAAAGATAGTACTGTTACGAC